TCAGAGATTTCTGATGAAGGGTCTAGGCCCGAAACGTCAGCCTTCCTGCTCCTATGATGCTGCTTGGCCTCTCTTGATACCAGTGATTGTTTTTCCTTCATTAAGGATAGGAATATTCATGGAGCCTCCTCCTCCAGTGAGCTGTTTAATTGTTCAGAACCGTTCACAACTGGATGTGGCAGGTTTGAACTTGTTTCAAAAACTTTGCTCGAGTTAGAAATAGTGAGAGGATCATTTAACCAATGTGAAATAGGCAAATGAGATGGTAATGCATAATTTAGTCGGACAAACTAACTGGGGTACCTTTCCAGGATAAGTGTACTTGCACTGTTGGATTGGGAAGGAGCATAGAGGCAAAGTTCTATGGTGTGATACCAATCATTTAAAAGGACAATGGCAGTGTTCCCCATTGCCTTTATTTATGCATAGGAACAAATCAAGCAAGAAGATAGATTTCAGCTGAATTCTTACCTTTAAAACTGCTTCAGGGAAATTTCTGTTGAAAAAGCGGACAACCTCTTTCACATACAAGCTGGCCTTGGTGCGGACAGTGATCATGTAACCATCGCCAAACCTTAGGGAGAAGCAAAACAGAAGCGGTGACCAATCTGAATCCATCTTAAAATCAGATGACCATCATCTTACATTCACAATTTTGTGTGAAGTGCAGTATGGAAGAATTTGTGCAAATGCACTGACCTTAAATGGAGCTCAAAGGGCAGAATCTCAAGAAGGTGTTAGATGTAGTTCTTAGGGCTAAAGGGATCAAAGGGTATGGGGCGAAATCAGTTTTTGAGCTCTATGATTAGCCGTGATAACACTGAATGGTGGAGCAGACCCGAAGGGCTGACTGGCCTACTCTTGCTCCTTTCTTTAAAGCTTCTATCTCAGACATCGACACAATCCAAATGTAGATGAACACACTTTTTTAAAACAAAACCCTCTCATGTAAAAGCTGCGATGGATGTATGGACTTTAAAAGAAATACATATTTTAGATATATAATTTATTTAGACCCAGATCTACCACTTTGATTCAATTGAACTCCCTTAGCTGAAATGTGAGAAAGAGGAAAAATACAAATACTGTACCAATAAATGTCTAATGTCGAGGTACCACTATCAGCTGAGTTATATCAAATCCATCCACAGTTGCACTCTACCTGCTGCTCCCCTTCCTTCTCCCTTTCATTCGACTTTGTAGTCTCCACCCATCCACCATCCAATTCCTATTCTATTTTGCATTTTCTATCTTACCTCTCATTCCCAACCCTCAGAGCAGCTAATATTTCTATGAAGAGGTAACAGAAGGGCTTGATGATGGCAATGCTGTTGATGTGGTATACATGGATTTTCAGAAGACATTTGATATAGTGCCACACAACAGACGTGTGAGAAATGTTATAGTTCATGGTAAAAAAGGGACTATAGCAACATGGATACAAAATTGGCTGTGTGATAGGAAACAAACAGCAATGGTCAACTGATATTTTTTGGCTGGAGAAAGATACGTGGAGGTGTTACCCCAAGAGTTGGTATTGGACCCATACTTTCCCTGATTTACATTAATGATATCGATCACAGGACAATTTCAAAGTTTGCAGGAGACACTAAACTTGGAAAGAATTGTAAATTATAAATTGTGAAGAGGACAGTGTCCATCTCCTAAAGGACATTGACAAGTAGGTGGAGGGGGCAACTATGTGGTAGATGAGGTTCAATGAAGTGAAATGAGGTGATGCAGTCCAGTAGGAAGAACATTGAAAGACAATATAAAATAGGGTGCACAATTCTAAAGGCAGTGCAGGAGCAGAGAGATCTGTGTGTAAATGTGCACAGATCATTGAAGGTGACAGGACAGGAGGAGAGCAATTAATAAAGCGTACAGTGTCCTCCGTGTTATTATTACGAGTATAGAGTACAGGAGCAGGCAGGTAATGTTGAACTTGTACAAGTTGTTAGATTTCATATGGGGTATTGTGTACAGTTGTAGACGCCACATTATAGGAAGGATATGAATGCAGTGGAGATAGTGCAGAAGCGATTTGCAAGAATGGTTCCAGGAATGAGAAACTTCAGTTATGAAGATAGATTTAAGAAATTGGGACTGTTCTTGGAGAGAAAAATGTTAAGAAGAATATTGATAAAGGTTTTCAAATTTATGAGCTGGCTGGACAGAGTGGATAGAGAAAAGCTGTTTTAGCTCATAAAAGGAACAAGAACAAGGGGAGGGAGAGGCCAGAGATTTAAAGTGATGTGCAAAAGACACAGGGTGTTATGCGAATAGTCAGGGTATAAAAATATGGTGGAGGCAGATTCAATTGAGGGTTTCAAAGGACATTAGATGATTATTTGGATAGAAATGATGTGCAAGGGTATGGGAAAAAGCAGGAGATTGGCACAAGGTGATAAAGTTTGAAGAGCTACTGCAGGCACGATGGGCCAAATGGCCTCCACAGCAACTCTGTGAACAACCAATTGTAATGGACTGGTCTCAGCTGCTGCCACTCTAATGGATCCTAACACAGTCCTGCACATCTTGAGAGACTGCTGCTCTTCTCACTAACACACAGTTACCGTCAGGATGATACTCTGAGCCATTTCTTCCTCCATTCATTTGCCACCCATCATTGCGATGCCTTGGAACAATGCCAGTTTCTTGGTTTATACTAATGATCTCCAAAATCAAGACTTCCTCACTTCCCTCAACATTGTTTTCTCTATACTGATAGATTGTCTCACTGAGATCAGTCAGGGGAAATTAAAATTCAAAACAGCAATAACCATAAATATTTGGTCCCTACCCTAGATCTAAGAAGCTGTGGCATTCAAGCTACCCACGGCTGAGTTTCAAACTGCACGTACGATCTACAAGCAGAAACCACTTACTACTGCATCACCCACTGCTCACTAAGTTCAGCTTTCACGTTCACATTTCTGTCACTTTGCTATCTCCAGTCATCCATCCTCAATTAACTGCAGTTTGTTCAAAACTCAGTTACAGTGCTGTGATCCTGCACTCCTCTACGTTCTATTCACCTTTCACCATCCTCCCTCTCCTTCTTACCGATTTATAGTGATCAACTCTACCAGTTTTCCATCCTGTTCTCCAACCCCTGGTTTCCCAATGCACTGGATTTAAAACCCTGGTCCTCAAATACTTCCACAGCCTTAACTCAAAATACAAAAAAAATTGAGAGACCCATTGAGTCCTTGCTCAGTCCTCTATGCATTGTCCACCACTGATGGCAAAGCCTTTATACCATTGCTGTGTAACTCTGCTAACCTTCTACTCTTGTGTTGTGTCTTACTTTCAGTGTACCTTTCAGGGACATGCTCATTATATCATCCCTCTATCACAGCACATGACCTGAGGGTATAATGGTGTCATACTCTATCCTGCCTTAGATCACATGAAGCATGGTGCTCTATGGGAAGCGGGAAGCATAGTCCTGTGTTTTAACTCAACAGCTGAATCGATGTACAGACATATGTGTGCCTGAGGAGTGCAGAGTTTGTACCTTATAGTTAGTTGTCACAATTGTTTCTTGGATTCTTCAATATGATATCCACAACCAGTTTCTTGTATTACGGAAAATAACATAAGTACAATCGTATCAGGTATAACATTCTGCTGGAGTCAAATTTACACTATCTACTTTTTAAAAACAACTGGGCTATTAAAGTCAATCTTTTGATCACCTCTTCCAATTTGCCCAGAGTTAGTTCCACCTTTAACCTACCACCCAACATAAATCACCTCAGGCTGATTTCCCTACTCTTGAAGTGTAGATGTGGTGAAGTTGGCTACACCTTCAAGGTTGGTCCAACCTCATCCCGCCCCCTTGACCTGTCCGTCTTCCTTGGACTGACCTATCCCCTTCCCAACTCCCCACCTACACTCACCTTTACTGGCTCCATCCCCGCCTCTTCGACCTGTTTGTTTCCTCTCCACCTATCCTCTCCTCTATCCATCTTCTATCCGCCTCCCACTCTCTCCCTATTTATTTCAGAACCCCCTTCCCTTCCCCCTTTTCTGATGAAGGGTCTAGGCCCGAAACGTCAGCCTTCCTGCTCCTCTGATGCTGCTTGGCCTGCTGTGTTCATCCAGCTCTACACCGTGTTATCTCTGTGCTAAATTACCTGTTTTTCAAGTGCTGGATGCTGCCAAGACACTTGAAGCGTCCATTCACCATGATGGCCAGCCTCGTGCACAGTGCTTCGCACTCCTCCATGCTGCAGAGTTTAAAAAGGACAGATGAAAGATAACATGTTCCCACTCCCTCACCAATTTGCAAAGCACAGACAAACAATGGCGAAAAATATTTCCGCTTTAGCTCAGCCTGTCTTTTCAATTTATTTAGCAACAGTGTGATTGCAGTGAAACGGTCACGTCTCATAGCTACGCGCTGTGTCCTTTTACAAAATGGAATGTGGTTTCATATTCATTCAGAAAGCCACAATTCTGAAGAATGACAGAATTCTACTCTGAGCACCTAATGTTAACAGGAAACATTTTCTGATCAGAGACAGAATCATTTCAAGCTGTCTCTGTTCAAAAAAAAAGTGCACTGCATTATCACCCAATTGGTTCTCAACCAGGTATGACAGTGTTTTGCGTGCAAAATCTTAATGTTTATTGAACTGAAAATGGATATCAGAATTTTTAAACAGACAAAGAGGTACTTTCTCCTTATATCTGATTATACAGTGATATTAACAATTATGTTCGCAATTTTTAACAGAGAAGTAAATCTCAGGATTTTAGTCTGTGATGTTACTCCAGTATGTGTCCTGCTTGTCCGTTTGTACTTGGCAAAATTTGACAATTTAATTTCCATAATTATTGTGAATTCAGACCAGCATCTATCATACACTTGCTTTTGTCCATCTCTTATGGTTCGATGAGCGAGTCTGTCAGTAATATGCCTAATTATTTTCCATTTAGTTTGTACATACTGAAATGTATCTACTTTCAAATAGCTCCAGTTCAGCCTGTGCCTTTACAGAAAGGGGTAGAAATTTAAAGTGATGCAAAATGCTAGGCAATGGATTGGTTCTACCTGCAGCGCCTGATATTCATTCAAAAGAAAAATACTGCGTATGCTGGAATTATGAAACCAAAACAGAAATTGCTGATAAAGCTCAGCAGGTCTGGCAGAGAGGGAGAAACTGAGTTAATGCTTGAAGTCTGGTATCACTCTTCAGAGTTCTGAAGACAAGTCATATTGGACTTGAAATGCTAACTCTGTTTCACTGTCCACAGATACTGCTAGACCTGTAGAGTTTCTGCAGCAACTCTGTTTCTGCTCCTGATATTCATTTCCTCATAACTCACTTACTTTACCATCACATGCTGTGAATAATATATGGCTGATCCATATTGCCTGTTTGCACAAGACCTGACTAGATCAACTTACTCTACTCCCAGAGTAACAGAATTTTGTTTCAATTCACTTAATTTCCCACTGTACACCACAGAATAATGTTAAAAAGATAGTGTCAGATATTGGGATAAATTCCAATAGTGGTGTGGAATTGAGTTAATACATTTTCATGAAAATATTAGGTCTGCTATTTTAACTTCAAAACTATATCCATTTCAATAAAATTTAAGCTGTGGTCCAATGGGCAGCATTCATGCCTCACAAGGTTCTGGGTTTGAGTTCCACTCCAAAGCCCCGAGCACAAATACTCCAAAGTTGCACTGTCAGAGGGGTTGTCTTTCAGATGTTAACCCAAAGCCCAGTCTGTTTGCTCAAGAGGATGTGAAAGATCCGAATGAATCATCTTTCATGTTTCCCTGATGTCTAGCTGATCAATATGTACTCTTCAACCAACATCAAAACAGATAATTTGGTCTTGTTCATGTTCTTTGTGCTTGTGATAAAGGATCACCCTCAACTCGAAATGTTTTTCTCTCCACAGATACTGCCTGCCCTGAATCATGTCATAGAATCCCTGCAGTGTGGAAGCAGGCCATACAGCCCATCGAATCCACACCAACCCTCCAAAGAGCATCCCATCGAGATATACTCCCCCTGTAACCCTGCATTTCCCATGGCTAATCCACCTAGCCTGCATATCTCTGGATGCTACAGGGCAATTTAGCATGGCCAATCCACCTAACCTGCCAATCTTTGCACTGTGGGAGAGAACTGGAGCACTCAGAGGAAACCTACACAGATAGGGGGAGAATGCGCAAATTCCACACAGACAGTTGTCTGAGCATATTTCCAGAATTTTCTGTTTTTATTGTGGGACTTGGCATTACGTAAATTGGCTGCCACACTTCCTACATTACACTAGTGACAACATTACAAAAGCAGTTGATTGCTGTAAAATGATGAGGGATATCATGAAAGGTGATATCTTTTTACAAATCTTTCTTTTAGAGTGGGTAACCCAAGTTAAAATAATGGACACTGAATTCATACAAATGTTGAGATGTCCATTATTAATGTCACAAAGTACAATCTTATCCCACTGAACAATATGTCGGTGATATGTTACAAAATAAAACTACATCTGACTATGCATTTCAACTAAATTACACATGGTTAACTCAGTTGATATCATAATTGGCTTGCTCCTGGCAATTTTGAAAACTGAACCTTCACAGTAAACTGTTCCCATACTAGGTATACAAAAGGAGAACCAAAATTGGGGCTGCATTCTAAAATGAAGACAACTAAATGATTGAAAGGTTTATTTAAAGCTTTTCAAATATCCCAACATAGTAATTAAATGTCAAAAAGCCAATGCTTCCACAAAATGAAAAAGAGTTTTAAAAAAAATACAATGGTTTTTTTTTCGCTATCCTCACAAGCCCCGACTGGATTTTCTGGAAGAGTTTGTTTCAGGTTTCCAGCATCTGTGGTATGCTTTTGCCTAGATTTGTACCTGATGTGGTATTGACTGATCTCTGTCCTGATAGGCCCCTCCTTCAGTGGAAACCACAATGCTTATTAAAGTTGCTCTGTTGCAGCCGATACCAGAGGTACATTTCCCAACTGTCCAATTCCTCTCCCTCCAGTGTCTAATAATCACTGCAAATGCCCAGAAGTTCGGCTCAGTTCCTGAACTGTTTCACTGATGCTTTGTAGTGTTGAAGTACACTTTGTCATGGCTCTGACCTGAATTGATTTTGATATCTCATGCTTTTCTAAGAAAACCACACAAGTATTTGGGTAAAAATAGAGGCTATGTAGTTTCTCAGAATCATGGTGAGAATTCTTATTCATCTCTGACCTTTAGAGTGCCAGCATTCATAACCCAGTAAGGAGTACTGTGTACAGCTCTGGTCGCCCTGCTACGGGGAGGATATTATTAAATTGGAGAGGGTTCAGAAAAGATTTACCAGGATGTTACCAGGACTGGAGGGTTTCAGTTATAGGCACAGGCTGGATAAGCTGGGACCTTTGTTTCACTGGAGCGTTGGTGGTGGAGGGGTGACCTTATAGTGGTTTATAAAATCAAAAGGAGGCATAGATAAGATGAATAGCCAAAGTCATTTCCCTAGGTTAGGGGAGTTCAGAACTAGGGGGCATATTTTTGAGATGAAAGGGGAAAGATTTAAAAGGGACCCGAGAGCCAACTTTTTCACACAGTGGGCGGCTCACACGCGGAATGAACTGCCAGAGGAAGTGGTACAAGCAGGTACAGTTACAACATTTAAAAGGCATTTGGACAGATACATGAATAGGAAAGGTTTGGAGGGATATGGGCCAAACATAGGTAAATGGGACTAGTTTAGCTTGGGAAGCTTGGCTAGCATAGACAAGTTGGATTGAAGGGTCAGTTTCTGTGCTGTATGACTCTATGACAGAACCTCCAGAAATATCTACATTGACTGCGAGATGGTCAACAGAATTGCCACAGCAAGCTCAGAATGTGCCCATTTAGCTAAGTGAGTATGAAAGAAATGAGGTATCATATTTACAACAAAACCTGCTACAGAATCTTCTGCAGACTTGCAAAACACGGGATCATAGAATCGTACAGTCCTTATATAGTGTGGAAGCAGACCATTCGGCCCATCAAGTCTGCACCAAACTTCCAAACAGCATCCCACTAGACCCACCCCCTACCATATCCCTGTAACCCTGCATTTCCCCTGGTTAACCCACATAGCCTACACATCGCTGGACACTATGGGCAATTTAGCATGGCCAATCGACCTAACCTGCACATCTTTGAACTATGTGAGGAAACTGGAGCAACCTGGAGGAAACCCATGCAGACATGGGGAAAATGTGCAAACTCCACACAGACAGTTGCCCAAGGGTGGAATCAAACTGGAGTCCCTGGCGCTGTGAGACCATAAGACCATAAGACATATGAGCAGAAATTAGGCCACTCAGCACCTCGAGCCTGCTCCGCCATTCAATCATGGCTGATAAGTTTCTCAACCCCATTCTCCTGCTTTCTCCCAATAACCCTTGATCCCCTTGACAATCAAGAAACTATCTATCATTGTCTGAAAGATACTCAATGACCTGGCCTCCATAGCCTTCTATGGCAATGAATTCCATAGATTCACCACTCTCCAGCTCAGAAAGTTTCTCCTTATCTCCATTTTAAAGGGTCTTCCCTTTACTCTAAGGCTGTACCCTTGGGTCCTAGTCTCTCCTGTTTATGAAAACATCTTCCCAATATCCACTCTGTCCAGGCCATTCAGTATTCTGTAAGTTTCAATTAGATCCCCCTTCATCCTTCTAAACTTGAGTATAGACCCAGAGTTATTAAATGTTTCTCATATGTTAAGACTTTCCTTCTTGGGACCATTCTCGTGAACCTCTTCTGGACTCGCTACAGGACCAGTACATCCCTCCTGAGGTATGGGGCCCAAAATTGCTCACAGTACTCTAAATGTGGTCCGACCAGAGCTTTATAAAGCCTCATAAGTACATCCCTGCTTTTATATTCTAGTCCTCTCGAAATAAATACCAGCATTGTATTTGCCTTCCTAACTACTGATTTAACCTGCAAGTTTACCTTAACAGAATCCTAGTCTAGATCTCGCAAGTTCCTTTGCACTTCAGATTTCTGAATTTTCTCCCCATTTAGAGGCATCAGTGGTAACCATTGAGCCACCGTGCCACCTAAAATGGGATCTGGGTGCTCCCAGCAAGGCCAGCTCCTGTTGCCCCTTCCAAACTGTCCTGATGCTGACTTGCTAGACCACCCCAGAGTGCAGTTACAAGTCAACTACATTGTCGCAGGTCTGCAGTCAC